GCGGGCGCATGAGTGATGGTGGCATTCCGGCAGAGTCATGGACGGGAGGTTCTGGGGGATGGATTGGAGCAGGTCGGTGGTGCGACGCCTGAGGGTTGCGAACGATTCCATGATGGCGGCGGTCGAATGTCGGGTAAGGTACCTTGTGTGAGGAGATGTGTGAGATGGACAATGGTGGCTACAGAGAGGGGAGGAGAAGGGTGGAAGTCGACTCGTGTCGAGCGAGGCGCCTTCAAGCGTTGGCCGGCGGTTTGCTGGCTGCTGGAGCTGGGGCGAAGCTGGGATGATGAGTGGTACCTGGCGTGGTAGGGTAAAGTAGGTACCTACCGCAGGGAAGGTCCGGGGTTCTTATGACGTAGCAATTTATGGATGCCAGTGGTGATGTTGCTGCTGCTGTTGCAAGATGTCGTATCGTTGTGTTTCAACTTGCCGTAGCGAGGGAGGTGAGATGCACGTCAGGCCAAGTCTGGCTTCTTGAAAGAAAGAAGCGACGGCGCGCCATCTGTTTGGGCAACGAACCGACCATGGCGATGGTCGTTGCTCACTCGTATCGCCGGTTGCGGGAGTGGGGAGGGGGAATGGGTCCAGGAAGAGGGAGGGACGCCTTGCCATCATCAGTGTGGCTCAGCTGCCGCAGGGTAGCTCCAGCTCTGTTTTTAGCTCGCTTGCTGCCAGGACGCGCTGGAGTTGAGCACTGGAGCCAGGTGCGAAGCAAGAACTTTCAGGGTCGTTCCTTGCTTGGCACCTTGGACATCGCAACTACTGGTGGGGTGGTCCCGGGCTTTTGTGCTGGCTATGCCAGCTATGTGCCACGTGACTGTTCATGCCGAATGCTCCCCGTCTGCTTTTCGCCGAGTCCTGGCATGGCCTCTGCCTCGTGCTTCGGGAGGTGCGCCTTGATGACATCTGTAGCTCTGTCTTGAAATGACGACTTGAATGACGTCCCACCGTGCGACATGATTGTGTCGGACTTTACAGCCCATGAGCTTCCTGGTTGCCTCACCAAATCCTCACGAGGCGAAGTGAATCGCGTCAGGCTGGCGACCCCTTCATTCAACCTCGGTAGGCAGACAACAGCTAGCAATGGCTGGCAAAGATCCTGGAGGAGGGTGACTCGACCACAGTCATGAAGCGCAGCTCGTGCAGGGTCAATTGGTGCTACGCACCTTGAGGTCTGATGACCTTCCTGTGAAATACTACTGTCATCCCCGCCCCCTCCTATTTCCTTTCAAGGAACGCCTTCAAGATGACTGCAACGTTGCTGTCATACCTTCCCTATTGATGCGCGTCCCTGCCGACG